CAGCAGCAGCAGCAGCAGCAGCAGCAGGACGCAAAGGGAAGGGTGTCGCCAAAATCACAGCAGGATGCAGATGCGGCGAGCAAGTCCGCCCAGCCTGTCAAGGGAGGCGCACAGCAGCTCTCCGGGTTCGCAGGCATGCTTACGGTCAACGACATCATCCATCTCATCCAGTACTACTACCACCACTCGAGCTACGACTCGGCGGCGCAGGATGTCGAGAAGTTCCGCCTGGAGCGGCTGCGCGATATCGAACAGGCGCTCAACGTACCGCCGCCGCCGCTGCTCAGCGTGCACCCGCTGCGTCCGCTCTTCGACGCGTGCCAGCTGCTCATCAAGACGCACGCGCGCCGTCTCCCGCTGCTCGACTACGACGAGCAGACGGGCATGGAAACGGTCGTGTCTGTGCTTACCCAGTACCGCGTGCTCAAGTTCATCGCCATGAACTGCAGGGAGACCGCAGCGCTGTGGCGCAGTCTCAGGCAGTGTGGTATCGGCACCTATTGCCAGCACTACCGCGCGGCGAGGGCAACCGCAAGTGCCGCACCCAGCCACAGAGGCTCAGACGCTAGCGAACCGGGCATCATCAAGTCGGACCCAAGTGCGACGGGTAGGAGTGAAGGGCATGCGGAGAGCGAGGCGGAGCCGTCCAGTAGCCAGATCGACGCTTCGTCCGATTCGGCGGCCAACCGTACCGGCAGCATCAGCGGCACATCCGTTCCGCTCGCAGCAGCGATAGACGAGGCTGCCAACGCGTATGCGCCGATCGCGACGGCGACGCTCGATACGACGGTGTTTGATGTGGTGCACATGTTTTCCGAGCGCGGTATCTCTGCCGTACCCATCCTCGACGAAGAAGGCAACGTAGTGGACCTCTACGAGACTGTGGATGTGATCACGCTCGTGCGCACGGGCGCATACACGTCTCTCGACCTGACCATCCGACAAGCGCTCGAGCGACGTCCGCCCGATTTTGGCGGAGTATGGACGTGTTCACCGGACGATTCGTTGGCGTCGGTGTTTGCGCTGCTGCGCAAACGCCGGGTGCACCGGCTGCTCGTGCTCGAACCCGAACCCGTGCTGCTCAAGCGCGACGACTTTGCCGACAAGACCGCGCCGCTGGAAGAACTGGATAGCTACGTCGAAGATCTGCTCGCCGAGCAAAAGACGCGCGACCAACAGGAGCGCAGCGAGTTTCTCAACGACCCACGACGCCAGTTGGAAGAACGTCTGGAAAAGGGAGATCCGGTGAGGAAATCGAGGGGTAGGCTGGTGGGAATCGTTTGCTTGTCCGACATCCTGCGCTACGTGATTGGTTCCGCATCAGAAGAACCAGACAAGACACGCAGCAGAGGCGCAAGCGTCGCCAGCTCCACCAGTCTAGGCTCCCAAGAACCGAGCCACCAAGAAGCCGCGCACAGAGACGCCACGCAGACCATCCCCGAACACGAACCACTTCAGCTCTAGTATCTGCAATTCACAATGCCTCAAAACAGAGAGAGAAACAGAAAGTGTGGATGTGAAAAGAATAAAGATTGCAGGAAGTGCGAAAGGGGGGAGGGAAGGGTGTCAGTTGCCGAAATGGGCGGCTCTTCGGGCTCGCAGCGCTTCGGTGTCCATGGGCTCGTCCGGTAGAGACGTCTGTATGTCTGGCAGCTGCACATCGCGCTGCGGCGCAACGAGTGGCAGACCCGGGTTGCGCTCATGCTGCGCATCCACCAATGCCCTCTGGTCCTCGGTGGACCGAGGCCTATTGAGGAGCGTTGCATCTTCAGTTGCGCGGCGGGCGTTGGCATACCGCGCCAGCTCGCGGTGCTGTTCATAGTACATCTGCTCGGCCGGCGAAAGCTGTACCCTCCTCGCTTCGGGCTGGGCCACGACCCTCAACTGCCCCAGCCTCGCATCCTGCCCCGCGGCATTTTCGAGCGTCAAGCCCGTAAGCGCATTCCTCGCGCGTGGCTCCAACTGGCCAAACTCGGCAGCCAGCTGTTCGTCCGAATAGACATGCTGCAGAAACTTGCGCAGATCATGCACTCCCTTGCCCGAGTACACGCAGAACGCCTGTCGCTGATGCTCGTTAAAGTCCTTGGGCGGTGGACGACACATGGCCTGCAACTCGGCCCGCCGGAAAGCAGGCACCCCGGTGAGAGACAGATGCGTCAGCCGAGTCAACCGCTGCAGCACGCAAAAGATCGCCGGCACCGACACGTTCTCGCAGTAGCTCAGGTGGATGCGCTCGAGCGAGTTGTAGCGGTCCACCAGCCCATAGATCGCCTGGTCTGTCAGATTGATCACCTTGACCAACCCGATGCGCCGCAGCTTGGGCATGTTGTTCGCAATCTCTGTCACCGACAGATCCGTCAGATTCGGACAGCAGGCCACGTCAATGTAGCGCAGCCGCGTACAGCTGCGCGCCAAATGCGTCACCGCGCGATCGGTGATGTTGGAGACGTGACCCAGATGCAGGTAGTGCAGATTCTTGCCCAGCTTCGCAATGCTGTACAGCGCCTCGTCGGTGAGACGCGTGCACTTGGTAAGCGCGAGGTTCTTGAGGCGCGGCACGTTGGCCACGATGCCCTCCACGGCGTCGTCCGAGATGGAGAGGCAGCTGGTGAGGTCGAGGATGCGCAGATGGTCGAAGAGCCGGCCGTGCGCAAGGTCGCCGGCGATGCTCATCGAGGGCGCGGTGAGCGTGCGCGTGAGGCCGGCGTCGCCGCGCCTGCCATCCGCACCGGGCGAGACGCCGCGGCTGGTGGGCGCCGAATCGGGAGCATAGGCCGAGGCGACCATGGCGGAGCGCGAGCCTGCCGAGTGCGAGGTGCCGAGCATGGGCACGCCCGTGGTGCCTCGCGCGGACGGGAAGGCGTTGTCGGTAAGCTCGGTGCAGTGAGAGAGCCTGAGCTCGCGCATCTGGAAGCTGCGCATCCACACCTCGCGCATGGAGCGGTCCGAGACCTTGGGGCAGTGGATGAGGTCCACCTCGAGCAGCGCGGGGCAGTGCTGGGTGAGCGCCATGAGCGCCTCGTCGTCAATGTTGTCGCAGCCGCACAGCTTGACGCGGCGGAGGAGGCGGCAGGCGGTGGCGAGTTGGGCGACGCCGTGGGAGGTGATCTTTTTGCAGCCGGTGAGGTTGACGCCCTGCGCCTTGGGGCAGTTGGCGGCGAGGGTGAGCAGCGTTGCGTCGGTGATGTCGGCGACGTCGGTGAGGTCGATGGCGACGAGGTGCGGGGTGCACTGGAAGACCTTGACGAGGGTGGCGTCGGTGATGTTGGAGCAGCCTGCGAGCGTGAGCCTCTCGAGGCGGGTGCAGGCGGCCATCATGAGGAAGAGCTGGTCCTCGAGCTGGTTTGCGAGCAGCGTAAAGTTGAGCCTGCGCACAAAGTCGGCGTAGGGGAAGAGCTGTTCGGGCTTGCGGATGACGCCGACGAGCTTGAAGAGCGACGAGATCTTGTAGAGCGCCGGGCGGTGCCAGAGGAGCTCGACGCCGTTGAGGCACCACGACTTGCAGACGAGGAGGCAGGAGAGGAGGTCGGGCGGATAGAGGACGAGGTACTTGAAGATGTGGAGGAGGATCTCGTGCGGGAGGTTGGAGGCGTGGTTGAGCGGAGCGTCTTGGAGGATCCAGGTGCCGTTGGAGGAGGTGGGGGAGGCGGGTATCAAGGTGCCTCTGCGGGAGAGGCGAACGGCGGCGGGGTCAAAGGCGCGAGCGTTGGAGTTTGCGCGCGAGTCGGCATCGTCGATGGAGGCGAGGTCGGCGAAGTCTTGCTGCGGATTGCCGTCGTCGGACTGGGAGGTGCTGGAGGGGGAAGGGGGAGCGCGGGGCGCGGAGAAGCTGGCGGGCGAGTCGGAGCGGTCGTGCATGAGTGTGTCGACGATGGTGCGGCGCGTGGAAGGACCGGCGGTGGGAGGAGAGGCAGCTACGGCTGCGGCAGCGGCAGCGTCATGCATGGGGTTGGTGTGCGGATATGGATACGGCGAGGGAGAGTTGGAGCCTCTGGGTGAGGAGTCTGCGGTGCGCGACATGATGGTGGTGCGGAGTCAAGTGCGGAGCGGGCGTTGCGGGATACAAGCACCCGTCGTCGTCGTCGTCGTCGTCGTCGTTCTCGTCCGCAGCAGCAGCAATCGCACCGAGACGACTGAGCGCAGAGGCGTGCGAGAAAAGGTGCGAAGAGATGCTATTGATGGTGGCCGCGCAAGCGCAGTGGCGGATGTGGCGCGGCTTGAAGAAGGCGAGGCGAGTCGGAGCGTATGAAGGCTGATGATGCTATGCTGTATGCCAAGTATGTTTGCGATGTTTGCGAGGTGATGGACGTTCTCGGCGCCAAAAGGGAGCGGGTCGTGACAAGATCGAGATCGAGATGGAGAGAGATGACGACGAGGATGTCGGGTCGATGCGAGAGCACAGAGTGTTGGGCTGTCAGATTGGATTGGGAGGTCGGGGTGGAGGCTCAATCGCGCGCTCACCAGCCATTTCCGATTTGAATGGCCTTCTGGCAGGTATTTGGCCCTGAAATGCACCGCACCGCATCGCCTTGGCCCGGGCCCCCCTTGCTTTGCCGCCCCCGGTCGGTGCGTCGAAAATTGGGAAACTTTGGCGCCCAATCGCCCGACTCCGAGTGGTTCCAGAGAAGCGCCCTCCAGCAGCAGCAGCAGCAGCAGCACCATGATGATGATGATGGATTGCATCGTCGCTCTGCGTGCATTCCAAGCATCCATCGCTTCCATCGGCAAGAAGGGTGGTGCAGCAAAGCGCAGTGCAGAGAGAGAGAGAGAGAGAGAGAG